GTCGAAGATATCGAGTGTTTATGTGATTCCTCAACCATTTGATGATTATGTTCATAGTCAAATAAAGTTACTTCCCATATCTCATTAGTCACTTTAAAAATGATTCTAGCTTTACATCCACATCTATATTCTAATCTTTCTCTCTTTTTTCCTAATCGAGGCTAATAACTCTAGACTTCCCTTTACATGAACAATTTAGTTCTTGACGAATCAATTTCCCATTTTCATTATAATAGTTTTCCCCTTCCTCACACCAAAACCCTTTTTAAAAGCATACAAATTGTTTCTATTATATGCTTCATCTTTTGAATGAAAAAGCATTCTAACATTAAACACAAAGTCTTCATTCACATGATACACGAGTAGATTATGTAACACCTCCATTCTCATCTGAATAATAAAAATAAATTTACAATTTTATCATTTATATATTTGATATTAATTATAATATGTTAAGCAATAACAAATATATCATGAAAAAAATATAAATTTACTTGTTTGAAGTGTTATATCCTTTACAATCAAAATCGTAAACTTAGCGTAAGGACCTTAAAAAAAAACATTTCTACTTTCCTGCAATACAATAATATACATTTATGTTAGAAATGTTATCGTTGGTAAAATTATGATGTGTGTCTTTGCCTCCGAGACTAAGGAACACATCATACTTCCATTGAAGACCAACGAAGGTAGAACATGTAATGTTAAAAGTTTATAGAAATCTAAAGCAAGGAAAAAAACAAGATATTAATTCTTTTTACTTTATTACGAGCGGTGTCTATGGTTCACTTGTTAAGAAAATTGCCGAAACACTTGATGAAATCTATTCCTTAAAGCCGTCATCGGATTGAAAAATAATATTGACACTCGGTAAGAAAAGCTGTATCAATTTTGTTTAATACCTTGTTTCTTCGTGATGCCGGCGGACTCCTCCAACTTATGCGAGAAAGCTTCTACGAATTGGCGAGAAAAGAATTACGAGGCATTGACCTAATTCTTGTTTCTCTTCTCTTCAATTAGAAAGATTGGGAGAAACTTTTTGCAGCCACCAAACCATTGGTTACTCCTGCAAAAAAATTTATCACGCTTTTTGGTTAGGGTTATTGGCTGCAAGACAAATTTTATCACATTGTTTTTTAAAGTATTCCACGTCATATTATTCTTAAAGCCACATGTACCAAAAAATTTAATGACATAGCAATTGAGGTTTATAAAGGATGGAGTAACTTATCGATTGTCACTAGTCACTCTTAGAGTATTATAAAATTTTTCGGATCACCCTTATCTCTCTATTTTTTTTCTTTTATATAATATGATGAAGATGATGATGATTTGATTCGCAAGGATTATAGTTGATTTTTAATCCTTAAGATCAAGATTTGCTTGATTATCAATAAAAATTACTATTCGTCTAGCACTATAAAAAAAATTGAGTTTAGCGATAGAATATTCCATCGCTAAACGCTCCAATTTCATCACTAATTGTGAATAGTGATGGACCATATTTCGTCGCTATTTTATCGGTCGCTAAATTTTTGCGATCGAATACTTAGTCCATCGTTAAATTTAGTGATGGACAATCCATCGCTAAACCAAAAAAAAAATCCATCGCTAATCTTGTTGTAGGATTGCTCTTTTTTTGTAACTAATTCGTCGCTAATTCGTTGCTAATTTTGAAAAACAAAATTGTCACTAATCTGTCGTTATTCCGTCACTATTTTCAAAAAAAAATTTCCATAATTTTGTCGCTTTTGTTGACATTTTTCAAAATTAAATTATTAATATGACATTTAATAATTAATATTTAATAATAAAAAATTATAAGTAATCATGTATCTATGAAAAATAAAATAATATTAACAAAATCATTCTAGAATACGTTTCATAAAAAACAACAAAACAAACAAAGTGATCGAATATTATATCACTTATCCCGCTCATCTAATCCCATATCCTCATCCTCATACTCGTGTGGAGGGCTCGACCGGAGGCTGAACCGGAAGCCGAGTGGAAGGAACGATCAAATCATTATGGATGTTATCTTATTTCAATTTTAATAATTAAACTAATAAAATTACTTATAAAATTTACATTCCAAATGACTACACTATGTAAAAAATTATATAATTTCAACCAAATTTAACTAAACTATATAAAAAATTATATAATTTAAAAATTAATTTTAAACAAACAACTAACCAAATTAACCTAACACTAAATATATATATATATATATATATATATAATTAAATCGCTTAATTAAAATAACAATTTAAGATTAAATAATTAAATTTTAAACTAAAAATTAACAAAATTTAAATTTTTAAGGTTTACGTTAACATACAAATTAACCTAACAATTAACATAACAACAAAATAAAACTTAATAAAATTAATCTAACGGTTATAAAAATAAAATAACAACTAACAAATTTAAACTACTACATACAACTTAACATAACAAAAAATTAACATAACAAGATAATTAACAACATTCAAACAATTAATAAACTAACAAATATTAAAATTTAACTAAAAATTTATAACAATTATCTAATTAAAAAAAAATATAAGAGTTAGAGAGAGAAAGTTTTACCCAATAGATCAAGGATAGAAAACACAGATTTGATCTGATTTTGAGGAAGAAAGATACCCCTCACTTTGTTGAATGGTTTTGAACAAGATTTAGTGATGTGGGGTGGCATGAGTGGTAATGAAAAAAGAGGTGTGGTGGAGGTGAGGGAAGCAAATGGAGAAGAAGAAGAAGAGGGTATATATAAAGGTAAAATAGTGACGGACCCGATTTTATCGCTAATCCGTCGTTGATTAGCGACGAATTATGGGTCCACCGCTAATTTGGGGGGAAATTTCCCCTAAATTCTCGAAGTTTAGCGACGGACGTGACGTTCATCGCTAAACGTTAGTGAGGTAGTGACGAATGGGATTTTAGGGGGAAATTTCCCCCAAAATCTCAACCCTCGCCGACGGACTTTAAGTCAATCGCTAATTTTAGCAACGAATTCCAAAATCCGTTGCTAACTTTGGACCATTTTGGGAGAATTTTCCTCCAAAAAAGGCACAAATTAGTGACGAATTTGATATTCGTCACTAATTAGCAATGGACTTAGAGTCCATCCCTAATTTTAGCGATGGATTTCAAAATCTGTTGCTAACTTTGGGCCATTTTGGGGGAATTTTCTCTCCTAAAAAAAACACAAATTAGCGACGGACTTGAAGTTCGTCACTAATTTTAGAGATGAATTCCAAAATTCGTCACTAACTTTGGGCCATTTTAAAGGAATTTCTCTCAAAAAAGGCATAAATTAGCAACGGATTTCAAAATCCATCGCTAACTTCACTAAATATCAAAAATTTTAACGACGAAAAAAATTTCATCGCTAATTTTGGTGCTTTTTTTCCCCACTTTATTTAGCGACGGATTTTTTACTGTCACTAATTCATCGTTAGTCTATCGTTAATCCATTGCAAAATACAACCTTTTATAGTTTGTCTCTAATCCGTCGCTAATTTGTCGTTAAATAGTGACGATTAAAATCCATCGCTAATTTTCGTCGCTAATTGGTATTTTTCCGATAGTGTAGCTTTCCATGAACAAATTTCTTGATTCTCTAGTTGCCATGTTTTTTAATCAACTCGTCAATATTTTTATTTTTTTATTTTAATGCTTTTTCAATTAAATATCTCATTTGAAATTTGTTAAACTCGTTTATAATATTCTCATTAAATAGACCCACTATTGAATTATAAAAATAAAATATCATAAATTGAAAAATCAAAATCAAAATTTTAAAATAAGAAAATAAAAATATCTTGTTTTTGGAAATTTTATCCATTTTATTGTTATTTTTTGTTTATACTTTCAAGATTTCTTAATAATCCACCAAAGGAAAAAAGAGTTGAAATTTTCCTCTTGAAAAAAGATTTATAATCTTCATTATTTAATTTTTCTTGTTTTTTTTTGTTTTATTTTCAATTTTTTAATTTTGATTTTGATTTTTTTGTTTATGCATAGTTGATCCCACAATAACGATGACATGTGTTTATGACACGTGATCAACGTCATCGCAAGCTATATGCTAGCACACTCAAATATAAGTATATTTATGAGAATATAAAAGATATAAAATCCAATCGAGAAGAGGAAACCGATTATCTCAAGGAGATCGGCTTGTGCAATCCTTATGCTTCGGGATCAATACGAACATGAGAAAACGATTAAACGGTTCGGTTAAGCTTAATTTGACTCGGTTTTTGGTTAACCGAATTAGAAAAAATAAAAATAAAAATCAAACCAAATTAAATTTGGTTAATTCGGTTTGTAATCGAATTATGTCGGTTCGGTATCGAAATAGTTCGGTTATAACCAAACTTTTATTCCCGTGAATGATTTTTATTTTTGTGGTATTATAAACTAATTTACTATTAAAAAAATGTAATATTACATCCTAAAATGGTTTGCGGTGTCATTTGTCTTATTACTTGTGTTTCATGTGAGAGCAAATTCTTGTGCAGCTCTTCTAGTGTGAGAATTCTCGCCGTGTCAATGTTTGTTATATTTTCATCAAAATACAATTAAAAAGTACAATCGGTTACCGTAAAGAACATTGAAGCAAAATACGGGGTTTGTTTTCAATCTTATCCAAGACACTTACCTGGACATATCAAATACTACCGCTTGCATCCTTCCCTTTGTGTTTCGTTTAATTTCATTCTCTTCTTCCGTCACCCACCTTACTTCCATTTATACTTCCATTTGTTAAGACAAGAATAGAGTGGAAAATAACCAAAATGTTCCCTAACTTTTCTTATAAGGAAAACATGAAGATATATAAAATTCATTGTCGGGAAATTCAATGAAATTATAAAATAATCGAAGCATTGCACAAAAAGAAAAAGATAATTAACCAAAACACAAACATCGGACTAGTTGCTATGTGAGAACCATTCGAGTAAACAATTGTATAAGAGGTCCATAACTTGTCATCCCGAGAGTGATGGAAGCAAATCAATTGAAGGCAATGTACTCTTCAACTTCTCCCTAAGTTTGTGTAAGAGGGGAGGCATTCTTACAATTTGTACAAATCGGCTTTCAACGCCTCGGAAGTTGTAAAGAATGAAGATCAATAACCTTTGGAACCTCAATTGCAGGATATATGGTCAAACAAAGGAAAAGGAAGAACCCAATCAAATGTCCGTAATGAACCAAAAATCTATAATTTAAGACCCGAAGCGAGCATCTAACTTATGAGGCAAAAGATAAGAAAAGGTCCCTTCAAATATTACATCACCAAGTTCAAGGATGTAGAAAATAAGTCAAGATTACAAAATAAGTCCGCGATTAAAATGACCAAATTTTGGATTAACAAACCTTTAGCTCATTGAACAAAGAGTTGAGTTACCGACTAAAAAATCCAGAATTTAAGCTTAATAGCATAGCTCTTTCTAGCCTCAAAGTCAAACAAGACATATAAGTGACCAATCTTCTCTAAACAAGTAAAGAACCATAACAATCCACGTATGGGCAAAATCTACAACAAGTAATCACATAAACACAAAACAAGAGTCTTTTAACTCCAAAAAAGAAAGACCTGGGTCCTATAAGATGAGAAAATTACGTTCAAACATTTAATGTCTCGTTGTGGATAGTGAAAACACTAAGCGTAACTCGCTTCAAAGGCCATTCCGAATGGTAATGGCCCAAAATGAACTCATTGTCCCTTAAATATCTAGGCAAACAAAGGTACTCTACAAGTTGATACTTAACTTTCTTCCATAATCTCTTCCATTTTCCTTCCCTCGAAGCACTTATTGGAAGCTTCTCAATTGTTTTAGACTTGAGCTTTGAATCCTCCCTCATTTGATTTACACCGACCATCCTCTCGTCAAACAAAGGCATGCATGCCATAAAAAATATCAATTATTACAAATAACAATACTCGAATTTTGGAAATTTCATATTTTTTTTTAAGAAAATCACAAAAATTCAAGAAATGGGTTCGTGCAAAATAAGAATTCAAGAAATTCTAAGTCGATGATATCATTTATGGAATTTGAAACAAAGAAAAATATAATGGGGTAAAAAGAAAAGCAAGAAAAAAAGCAAAACCAATGAGAAGAATGCAAGTAGTAGTATTTCCGACAGTACACTGCTCGGCTAGGGCAAGGAATGTCGAAATAGCACCAGACACTGAAACAAAAGTCTTCATGCGGTTATTTCGAGCATTCGGATAACTAATTACTATTATAAACTTTCATTATCATGAGCGAATCAAGTGTAGAATATGGAAAAGTAGAACGAAATGGAAGCTATGTCCATGTTTACCAAACTTTGCACCGCCTTAATAACATGAGAGAAAAAAAGCATTAGAAAATACAAAAACAAAAAGTGGTATTACAAACAAGCAAATGACCGAAAAAACCGATCCGGTATCTTTTTTACAATCATAGTAAAGTATGGCAAACATACAATACTAGTATTATGTAAAGTCACTTTAACTATCAATATCACACGTAAATCTAATTCGGATATGCTCATTATAAACTCGTTAAGGAGGTGTGTTAATGCCTTGTCCGTGTCATTGTCATACATGAATAAAACTTCGGTAACATTGTTTGATGAAAAACCCATTTCTCGTAGAAGGCTGTAGCCATTGACAAATTCTTGAACTCTGGAGTAAAGAAACACGAGAGATATTCATTCATTTCATTTGAACTATTTACAAGAAAATGTTGTATGATATCAAATGTGTGTGTGAAATCTTCTCCGAAATTTGCTACATGATCCGGCATAATAGAACCAATCCTAATCATCCAACAAACAACAAATTAAAGTCTAAAATTGCAAAAAAACTAAACAGACTCATCTAAAATCTATAAACTCAAGAATAAAAAGAATGCACCGGACTCACCGGATCGTGAGATATTGAATCAATGAGGGGCCGAGAGTTTGAGACTTGAGAGTGTGAGAGAGGAGAATGAGAGTGACCGAGTTTGCTCATTCGTCGGCTTCGTCGGAATGCTCGGGCGCCGGCTATCGCGTGACTTCGTCCGCATCAAAAAGAAAGGAAAGTCAAAAGAGGCGGCTAAGGGAGATATGGAGTTACCGAGTTAGGGTTAGATCTTATTCTTAGGTATTTAAAAATTACAATTAGGATTAGGAATAATAATTAAAAAAAAAACGATTTTCGGTTCAAACCGTTTCTTAAAAAAAAAAAAAACCGAACCGAACCAAAATTATTTCAGCTTTTTCTGGCTCAATTATAAATTATACATTTTTTAATTTATACCCAAACCAAATTCCATAATTCGATCCAGTTTGATTTGATTTTTGATTAACCGAATTGTTTGCTCACCCCTAGGTATCATGATAAATGAGGAGATATGCTAGCTCTTAACAAAAGGTTATCAAGAAAATGGATACTTGAAGTTAGATCTCAATCTGTTCCAAGTATCGATTAGGGGTTCTAAATCAGCGACATTGTAACTCGGGTCATGTACTCGGTAAGAGCAAGAATAAGCCATGAATGAAGACCGTGGTTTCCTTAAAAGGAAGATTGGATCTTTTGAGCATGATTGCTCGCATCTCCACCGTGCCAAACTGGATTTGGCTAATATGTATGTTTTTTTAATAATATCAAATTATAATTTTACTCTTTCCTTTTTTTCTTAGTTAAGTACAAAACTTTAATTTTTTTGTTTGAATACATGAATTTTTTTAAAACTACTAGTCAAGTATTTTTATTAATTTTTTTGTTAATTGATGATGTATTCAAATACCAAATAATATTTTTTTCTCTCATTTGTTGTAAGAAATTTTCTCTTCAAATTATTCTAACATTTTAAAATTTGACAAAGAATAAAAAAAAAGAGGTAATGTTTTAGTTATAAAATCTCATATTGAACTCAGTTAGGCTTTCTTGAAAAAAAAAAAAAAACGCTTAGTTATATTTTGAATGTGAAAGACAAGAAAACACAAACGCGAGATTTTTCATCAAAAAAATTCATTTGTTTTTTCCTTCAATTTTTACTTCCAAATGTGAAAGGCATATGTGTGTGTGTGTGTTTTAATATTGAATTAGGTGTCAAAATTATGAAAAATATTATTTTTATTCTCTTTGTCTTTTCCCACCCATTTATGTTTTTTTTAGTTATTGAATTGGGTGTGAAGATTATGAAAAATAAGTTATTTTTTTTCATACAACCACTACTAATACCCATTTATGTTTTTTTTTAGTTATTGAATTGGGTGTGAAGATTATGAAAAATAAATTAATTTTTTTTCATACAACCAATGCTAATATTATTCAATTATATATATATATATATATCGAATGTACAAAGATTCAAAAAATATTCTTCTCATTAGTATTAAAAAAGAATAAAAAAATTATTTGTTAATTTTTATTCAGTTTTTTATGTTATTTTATTTCTTAAATACAAAATTATGGAAAAATAATAAAAAATTAAAATATATTTTTTAATTTTATAGTTAGAATATTATGGATTTTTTTAAAAGAATAAATGTATAAAAAAATAAATTATATTTTTTTAATTATAAAAATTAATAATAATTAAAAAATAAAAAATATGAGGTTTTGATTAAAAAATATAAAATTAGATAAAATTTTATTTTTAATTTAATATATTTTTGTGAACCGATAAGTATGTTTAATTTGATATAAAGAAACAGGATGGGTATGAACGCAGGCCCAACTTTTCTTACGTCCAATCTGTCAGCCAGCAGAAAAGGATGATTCCTTTCTCTCCCTCCGTACCCCCATATATATAGCGGTCAGAAATTTCTCATTATGTACCATTTCTAATATTCAGAGTCAGACGACACGATACCTAAATCAAAAGCATATTCCTCAATCATCAATGGCTGAACCTGACTCGAAACCCATTTCAGGTACCATTTCTTCAATTCTCCAATCAACTCCTTTTTGCAGGGATTATGCTATTATCTCATTTAGATCCTTTCATTGTTGTTTATGTAATTAAAAACTATAATTGACGTATATCAAACTCAGCCTTCTTTCTTTCTATCCTGCATCTGGTGGTGGTCTGGAATTGTGGCAGATACACAAGTGAAAGCACCCAATATATTTGAAAGAGCCAAGGAGGAGATTGAAGCCGTGGTACACACTGAAAGAACGCACCACCATGACCATCGTAATCATAAAGAAACTCATGGATCCGTCATGGGTACTGTGGACATTGATGAAAACACCCCATTAAATGAGGTCAAAGCCCCTAATGTGTTCGAACGAGCAAAGGAAGAGATTGAGGCTCTTGTTCAAACCATCCATACCAAGAAAGACTCAGAAAACAATCATGACGAGAGGTATGACAGTGCACTTGCCGCACTACCATTTATTACAAGTGAAGTGAATATTGGGTTTTGTTTTATGGGATCGGAATGTTGTTTCTTATTGTTATCTGCCATTTTTTTCTTTCAGGCATCAATCTGTAAATGCAGAGTCAAATTTGGAGAAAGCAGGTGCTTTCCTTAGTTTCTATTATATTTTCATGGTTGTTATACGTGCAACGGTATAAGAAGTACGAAGTTATGATGGTAGTGATCTCTGATTACATTTTTCATATTTGAGAGAGTTCAGATTATGGCTTATGTACTTAAATGGCTCGTGTCGTTAGTCTAACATGACAATCTTCTGATTCCTAACATGGGGAGGAGTCTGATTCTTATTATCTTCAAGTATATATATAAAGCAGTTGTTAATCATCACTTTTTATATGCTATCTTAGTATGTTCTCACTTTATTTCTTTTTAGTTTTTATTGAGCCATATTGAAGCCATGTCAGTTTCAAGGACATGGAGTGGTGAACTTCTGATAAGGACGTCTGTGTTGAAAATTGTTTGTTTTGGTGGTAGTAATAATTAGGTATTGGGATTAGAGGAAGTAGAGATGTTGCTGTTGGTGGCCTTTTTTTTTTCCCTCCATTGTTGAAGGGGCTCTGATACCGAAACAAGTCAGAAAGTTTTTGGTTCTCCTCAGTCCTTGCTTGACAGTGAGCACTGAGCAGCTTCTGTCGTATTATATACTGAATTAGATAACCTTTGGACTGTTACAAGGTAAAGCTAAGTACAAGATAGCAATAAGCAATATCAATTACCAAAAGAGCTTATCAATCTTTTCTACGGCTACTGACTTGATAAAGATCAGAATACATGAGGCATTGGATAGGTAACGTAGGATTCTGACATGGAACCAAATAGCTTGTCATCCAGAGGTAGTAGTCTCTTGTAAGAGGTCACGAGTTCAAATACTCGTAGACTAGTTCTGTTTAGGAGCCTTGGATGTGTGTATTGAAATGAAAAAAAAAAAAGAAAAGTAGGAGTCTGATATAGCTTCTGACATTAGCTGTATTGTTGTATCTGAAGGTGGAGTCTTCCATGGCTTCAATATGGCTCAATAATTGTCAATCAAACCACTTATTCTGCATATATGTTGTTCCTCTGTTAGCAGAGAATGATGGTAAGGCAAAGGCATCCAATCTAATTGACAGAGCAAAGGAAGAGATTGAAGCCATCATTCACCATAGCAAGTCACCAGTCCATCATCAAAGAAACTCATGGAAGGAATGACTACATTGATGATAGTACCCCGATTGATCAAGTCAAAGGTCCAAGCGTTTTCCAACGAGCAAAGGAAGAAATCGAAGCCCTTTTTCAAACAATCCATCCTAAGAAAGAATCCAGCAATTTTGTGTCTTCTCCGAAGAAGGAAGGTGGTTTTGGAGCTTCTATTGGGAAAGGGTTGGAAAAAGTTTGCTCTCCTAATTGGGGAAGTAAGAGAGATTGATTTAATACTTTTGTAGTGCAAAATCTTCATATCTGTTTGTTTTGTGAGAATGAACTACAGTATAGGAAAAATAGAACACAGTTACGAACCAGTAAGAGCTGATATCATGGTTGAAATATGCAAATTCACTGGATTCATTTTTCCATTTCATTGCTGTGTATGTTTTCTATTGAATGTTAAGCAACACAGATTTTCTTGTTTACATTTTTGCAAGATTCACGAGCACAGTTTCTATTTCTGATGGGAAGGCTCTGATCGATATTCTATTGTAATTTTACATGAAATATTTTGGTTTGATCATTGACTAGGTGGGGTTTGAGCCCAAGACTTCTCTCTAAGGGAGGGAGGGGACATGCATGCCGGTAACAGCCCGATAATTCTTGTTGAGTTGGTGGATCTCTGGGAAGTTGGTGAACCATTTTATTCACCGAAAAATAAAAATAGAATTCTGCTTTTGTAATTCTGTTTCCCATGATTCTTCCAATTTCCTATAGGGCATTGAAATGTAAGTTCTATCAGTACAGCTTTAACTAATTAATTAATTAGGTTATAAAATGAAGACTCAGTCGATGCCAGTGCCCCCCTCATCAGATTATTATCATATGACAACCTTTGCAGTGCATAATTCATGCCATATATTTGAGTAATTAGCAGAGAGAGCTTTAGTTGAATAGGAAAAGTTTAAATAAGAAGCAATGGACTTCTCTTAATTCCACTGCTTTTTCAAGGGCAATAGTGGCAGGACATGAACTTTCCAGTCACATAGTTGAACTCTTCTGCTCCTGATTGGTGAAGTTGAATTCCCCATGATCAATCTCAGTTTTGACTTGTAGCCGACGCTCGTTTACATAATCATGTTTTGTTTTGTCAAAATACGACCAAATTATCTTGAATATATATATATATATATATATATATATATATATATATCTGTGATGGAGGTAAGATGTTGTTGAATGCGTATTGCTAGTAAATATTGGGCCGGCCAAACCATCTTTTTGTTTTATTTTACGTTTTCTGTGAAAGCTTATTATCATAAAAATTTAAACAATCGTGTTCATTCTTACGGATTGTAACTTACTATAATTTTAAAATATCGACAATGAAATGTTTTGAAACCTTCCATATCAATCATTTTTTACAACTGTACTCATGACCACTACTTTGCCTTCTGTAGTCCAAGAAAGCAAAATCAATTAAAAACATGCATGATTGATGACAAGGGCAATTAAAAACATGCATGATAACGATTGGCCAATAAAGAGAAATTAATGACCATTTTAAAAAAATTAGTTTAGACCCGAGGTATTTACTATTCGATAAAAATCAAATAATTGAATCGAATCGCATTGAAATATCAATTTTGATGTGATTTTTTAAAAAAATTAAAATAAAAGGCTGAACTGAAATAATTTCGATTTTTGAATTTAGTTCATGTTATTTTTTTAAAAAAATTTTGGTTAACTATTTTTTTTTTTTAAATTTGGTTACTCGAAAACCGAAATTTTTACTACATATCTTTTCTTTTCTTTTTCTTTTTAATTTAGATCATACTTCTTCAAATTGAAAAACCCTTCTCCCTTAGATGCACTACCTCTCATAGCTTCGTACGAGTTCTTTTTATCTTTGCTACAAGTATGGATGTATACAAAATACCTAATACGTTGATAAATTTTTTATTATCTCATATTTAAGCCTCCATGAATAGACAATTTATTATTATTTATTTATCAATGCATTTGTTATTTTTTTAGATGCAACTTAGTTTTTTAAGCAGAAGTCCACAAAATAGAAAGAAATTCACTATAAATAGAGATTTCGAAACTTCAATAGAATCAATCATATGTAGAAAAAAAAAAAGGATAAAAATCAAATTACTAAACATCGGAATCGAAATATTTCGAAACTGAATCGAAAAATCGAATAACATTAATTCGGTTCGATTTTGATTATTTTTTTTGAAAATTCGATTAACCAAAAATCATCCAAAATATTTTAAAATCGAACCCAATAACCAAACGAACACGCTGATTTAGACTTAATAATAATAAGCCTAAGTAAGAAGCAGTATTAAAAAACCAAAGCGCTGGTAATCATCAACGCAAAAGATGTATACTTATCAAAAAATCAAAAGCAGAAGAGAAACGGCCCAAACCATACATATTTCAACCGTGGCAATGGTAGCAACAGTTACAGGAGAACTAAGTAGTAAGTGAATGGTACGATGTTATTTGTCCCACTGCTGTTAACACAGTATCCCAGCCGTTGGATCAGGATTAGAGCAACGATCACTATGAAATGAAGAGCACTGCTTAGACAAGTTTGAGGTACTAAACGCGAGAGAGAACAGGTTCTGATCCGGATGTACGAACCGAAATCCGGAATCATTAAGTCAATGATGACAAAACCCATAAAAAAAAAAAAAAAAAAAAAAAAAAAAAACAGAAGCTAACTATGTACTAGGTATCGTATCATGGATCCTCTCTCTTAATTTGTCTCTTTGTTTTGACTCTTCTCATCTCCCATGTTTTTAGCTGATCATGTTACCTATCTAAACCTATCTCTATCTGCATGCGTTATGTGTGCAGATAGGTCTCTTTGAACGTCTTCTTTAGTATTTGATTGAATCAAGTACCCGATTGTTTTTGTCCTCTAAAGCTGTTTCCAATTTTTGAAAATAGTTGGCTTCTTTTTAATTTGTTTCAAGCAGGTTCAATCTGCTCCAATTTTCAATCTTTAAAATCCAAGTTGTCTTTTAGTTGTTGATGGATGATAGGATTGGTTTCTCTGATTCTAACGAGAATAGCAATGGAAGTAGCACTTGCTGCATAGAAACTCTCTCAACTTCAAAGCCTTTTACAAACCCAGAAGTTGCAGCTCTTCAACAATTATCAAGACACCTTGAAACCATTTTTGACTCCCAAGATTTTGGCTACTTTGCTGATGCCAAAATCACAAGCTCCAATTGCAACCGTGAGGTCCCAGTTCACAGGTGCATTTTATCTGCGAGAAGTCCTTTCTTCAAGAGTGTTTTTTCCAGTTCTGTGGCTAAAGACAGAAGTGGGGTACCAAAGTTTGAATTGAAGGAATTGACTAAGGACTATGATGTTGGGTTTGATTCACTTGTGGCAGTTTTGGGTTATTTGTATAGTGGGAAAGTGAGGCCTTTGTCTAAAGAAGTTTGTGTTTGTGTGGATGATGATTGCTCCCATATTGCTTGCAGGCCTGCAGTTGATTTCCTGACTGAGGTTCTTTATACCTCTTTTACATTTCAGGTTGATGAGTTGGTGGCTCTTTATCAGGTAAGAATTAAGAGACTGATTCTGAATTTACTTTGGAGCTTTGTTTTATAGTTGTTGCTCAATGTTTTTCATCTAGTAGTTTCTACTTGTGTTTGTGTAGAAATTGATGAATTCTATTTCTTCTTGCCTTTTTTTTTTTTTTTTTTTTTTTTTTTTTTTTGACAAATGCTGCCAACATCACCTTCAAAAAGGTGGCCAGAAGTCTATGGATTGTTTTGCTGAAATTAAAATAGACAAGGCCGTTTTCTTTTTCTGAGTATTATGCTAGGAAAATTGTAACTGTCTCTGTGTTTTGCTTAGTGTATTTGGATCTTCCAAAGTTGCACATAATTTAAGACCATAAGCACCAGAAGACCATGTTTCCAGGTTGATCATTTATAGCCCATCAGTTCTTGTCATATTGGCAAAGCGCTATCAGCTGTACTTATGGAAGGAAATGAATCTCATTTGTGCTTTTTAATGATATCAGGATGGATATTTATGGTACCAGGCAACTTTGAATTTACTCGAGTTTAAAATGTTTAACATATAGAGTTACATTCTTTTCCAAAGGAACTGACAATTGCTAATGCAGAAGATGTAAAAGAACGCAATCTGTATAGTTTCTGCTAATTGAGTACAGTTACGGAATCCACTTCCGTTTTCCTCAGTTTCTTCTCTTACTTTTAGTTTGGCTATTTTGTTTGATTGCAGAGGCACCTATTAGACATTCTTGACAAGGTTTCAACTGACGACATCTTGGTGGTTTTAGCTGTTGCAAATATATGTGGTGAAGCTTGTGAGAGATTGCTAACAAGATGTGTTGAAATTATTGTGAAATCAGATGTTGATATTGTTACTCTGGAGAAAGCCTTGCTGCAAAACATTGTAAAGAAAATCACGGATTCTCGCTCGGAACTTGGTTTGAATGTGCCTGAAAACAGAAACTTACCAGATCTACATGTAAAGAGAATACACCGGGCTCTGGATTCGGATGATGTTGAGCTAGTTCGAATGCTACTGAAAGAGGCACATACTAATCTAGATGATGCACATGCACTACACTATGCTGTTGCATACTGTGATGCAAAGACCACAACAGAGCTTCTTGATCTTGGACTAGCTGATGTTAACAGCAGAAATTCAAGGGGTTACACTGTACTTCATGTTGCTGCAATGCGGAAAGAACCTAAGATTATAGTATCTCTCTTAACGAAGGGAGCTCAGCCGTCAGATCTTACTTTAGATGGTAGGAAGGCACTGCAGATATCAAAGCGACTTACAAGGGCTGCAGATTATCATAAGTCTACAGAGGAAGGAAAAGCTTCTCCGAAGGAGCATTTGTGCATAGAAATATTGGAACAAGCAGAAAGGAGGGATCCATTGCTTGGAGAGGCTTCTCTTTCTCTTGCTATTGCTGGTGATGCCCTTAGAATGAAATTGTTGTACCTCGAAAATAGAGGTAATTTTCATTCTGTGCATCTTTCTTCCATTGAATTATCATGCCTTGATTACATCTCTCTACTTTCAATATGAGCAGTACTTTTCAGTTTTAACCTTTTCCAGTGCATTTTGATAGTTTCACAACATGATACTTGTGTGTTTAACATTTCCCTCGAATAAACTATACTAACCTGCAGTTCATGTAATTTATTTCTGATGTGGAAAAGCAAACATGCATCCATAACATATGAGAGTTTTGGAAAGTCATAAAAGACATAAACAACAGAAAAGAGGTTCTTATTTTTTTTTCCTCTCTGCGAGTGGAACATCATTCACACACTCATTGCAATAATCTTCTAATCTCTTTCATTGGTTCAACCTCAGCTGGTTGATTGGATTTGGAAGTACTTAGCTAATTGCCACTCCTGCTTGTTCATCTTGTTGCTCTTTCCTAACTGACCATTGGATGCTTTGTAAGACTTGATTATTGTACCATCCCCCACAGAATTTGTTATCTTTTAGCAATCCTTTCGCAAACTAGTTATACGATGAATTTGTAACACTTAGTGCCTTGGTCTTATATGTAGCGGACAAAAAACATTCTCTTACTTATCCTCTTCGATAGTCCATTAGTACAATTCTATCACCATGGAATCTCCTATGTGAGATTTATAGGTACTTATAGTTAATCCACTTTCTTCATATTTATGTCTTCATTTTGTGATTTAAATATTTATTCTGTCTCTTGAAATCTTAGTTTGTACTCATCTGCAGTTTCTTTTCATGCATATCCAGTTCTCCTGTCCTTTACCAGCCACTTGTGGAGTTAAATTCTCTTTACACATCAAGTCTTCCTTCCAGAATGAAATGTTTAGGCCAGAAAACCTTAAGTTGAACTGTGTAATGAGATGCACTCTTGGCATCTATTCATTTTCCCCATTGCCTGTCATACAGGAGCATTAGGTCATATATTCCCTAGTTAATTGCAAAGAGCATTTGATCATTCTAAATGACTTTTGTGATAGAGTAGCATGGGTGTTAGGGATCCTTTATTATCTTTTGTTAAAAAAAATCTTATTGAAGCTATGCAGTTAGTTTTCTGTTGAATATACGTGGTGCTGCTACTAGATTCATATCTTCAGTCAGAATGCTTGCTTTATTTTTCATTATACCATCTTATCATTTAGCTTTATTTTTAGATGTTGTCAATGCTAAAATTGATTTGCTTGTTAGTTTGGGAAAGATACCAATCATCCTTTTCCCATATTAATTTATCCTGCTCTTGGTTTTCTTGCTAAAAAAGTTGTTATTCTTTCCTTTTCTTTCATGGAAAAGAAATCTTTGTTTCAGATTTGCATGTTTTAGTTGATAATTCTTGGAGGATCATATTATTTAGCAATAGCTAATTGGTCTTCTGTTACTTAATGACTACGATGAATGAAAAATGCAGCTTATGATGATTAATGTTATTGTTCTTTCAGTTGGACTGGCAAAACTACTGTTTCCCATGGAAGCAAAAGTTGTAATGGATATTGCTCAAGTGGACGACACTTCTGAGTTTCAATTAGCTGGCATCAGGCCCGATATTTTGTCTGGGGCGCAAAGGGGAACGGTGGACTTGAATGAGGCATCTTTCAGAATGCAAGATGAGCATCTAATTAGGATGAGAGCACTCTCTAGAACAGGTTTTTACGTTTACACATATATAAAATAAATAAATAACCTGCTTTTCCTTCAATACTGCTAAAGGATCTTGGCTGTCCTAGTTTAATTGGCTAATGTTCTAGCTGTTCCAACTTCCAAGCATACACACATGACACACCCTTGGAGCAAAAGCTGAAAACAACGCCATTGGCTTTGTATTAGAAAATTTTAAGACCGTAAAAAAGCATTGTTTCAAGTTTATCTTTACATGCATTTGAACAGACATCTCATAGTTGATCAATGTATTCGTGAACAGTGGAACTTGGAAAACGGTTTTTCCCACGTTGCTCAGAAGTACTTAACAAGATTATGGATGCCGATGACCTATCACAGCTAGCTTATTTAGGGAATGAAACTCCAGATGAACGACTTTTGAAGAGGCAAAGATACATTGAACTCCAGGAAGTTTTAGCCGAGGCATTCAATGAAGATAAACAAGAGTTCGATAGGTCTGTCAAATCATCTTCATCATCCTCTAAGTCAATTGGCACGGCAAGGTCTAATGGTAAGCTTATTGACAAGGGTGGTTATCAGGCCTAATCCCTTCTCCTTTATTCTTGTATGATATGGTCTTATTAATTTTTCTCGTTTTTAATTATCTTTGGTAATGGTCGTACCTTCGATTCTTCTTCTTCTCAACTGTAACGACATATATATATCATTCCAACCGATCAGACTCTATACCTCTTGTTTAACTGTCGTACTGAATCAGGTAGAGTTGCTACATTGAAAAAACCCTTGAAAGCTGATCTGGTGCATTCTCTTTGATTAGCGAGGCATTATACCTAAATTTATTTGGAACCCGAGCCCAATAAATTAAATATAAAAGTTGCTTAAGACCCATTAATTTTTTTAAATAGATTTAATGTTTGGTCTTACTTGAAAGCTCAGTGGTTTCATTTAATTGAAAGAAGGACCGTCTGCCAGCTTATTAAGCCCAACATGTGCATTAAAGCCCAATCACTTGTTTTAAGTGAGATTGCTGGAGTCCTCTTCGAAACCAATAGAAAATGGATTCAAAATCAGTAAAGCTAGAAAAAACGTGGAGAAAGTCCTATTTGAAAAAAGGTAGATGACGGACAATAAGTGAGTGTATATGTAGTTAAAAGAATAACAACATTTTAGTAACAATAAAAACACTATCCAGACTAGTTAGGAGAAACGTGAAAAATTGCATCACAAGAAAAACATAGCAAGATACTACAATGCAAGAAAATAAAAATATGAATGCATTGCAGTGCAAAGAAAGATGAACAGAAAGCACTACAACATGCATTGGAGAGAGTGATCCATTACCGGAGTTCATGGAGGGTAAGAGAATCTATAAATACTGATAGCAATTAAAGAAAACAAAAAACACACAACAATATCAAAACACAAGCAAATTCTTGCAAATTGCAAACAACTTAAGGAGCATTATCACAAGTTTCATACTAGAAACTTGTTAGGTAGTAGTTAGTAGACGATAACTTATAGACAATAGCGATAATTTGTAGGTAATAATTTGTAGGCTGATTGTTGATTTTTGATCATCCGTTCATACTCGCAATCACCATCATTCTTATTTCCTATAGCAACTATTATATTTGACGCATCCGCAATGAATTCTTGCAATCTTCTTTTATCGTAAATTTATTCAATTCACTATTATAAAGACTACAATATTGCTTTATAAAGTTTTTTAGTTTTCAATTGTTAGGTTTTTGCTTATATTGCGCCGATTGTTCCTAGTGGTTTAATTGCTTATTATTTTAGTTTTATAATTTAATCATGTTATTTTGATTGCATATTAAATTAGAGATTTTGATTTTTACTTTAATTCATATTTTATTTCAAGTTATTTACCCTCCAATCATGCACTTTAACGAGCTTTGGAGGTCACGGTTTCTCATGAGGGGTTTCTAAGCTAATTGCAGTCCCATTTAGTTTATTTGAATTTAGTTTCCTTATAATGCTTAAATCCAAAAACATCATTAGGAGTAGCTGTAGTTTATATTTGCAAATTACTTTGGTTCATCTATCAAAATGATTGGAAGATTGATTGCTTGCAGAAGACATTCCAATTATCTTTTACTTTTTTTTTTTTGGTTACAAAATCCTCTTAATCGAGGCCAACATAAAAGAATACACAATAGTTTTTCCGGCGACCATAGTAGAAGTGCTATACTAGATGGCACCAAAAAGACAATTTCTAAAGTCCCAATAACATGGTATAAAGGTGATGAAAGTCATCCCCCGCAACGGACACCTTTGTGCAAGATGAAAGGGAATCCGTAAGATCCCAATAGGTTGTTGATGTACATGTTCTAATATCAATCGAGGAGAGACAAAAATCAGCTTGAGGCTAGGTTTAAAGAAGCTCGTAAGTTAATCGAACTTAAGTATCGGGCTTTAACTTAATCGATAAAGGATAAACACAAACCGAAAATGAAACTAATAGAGAACCATTACAAAGAGTTAATGTTAAAAACTAATAAAATCATACATATAATAGTAAAGTCTAACATTAATAAATGAGAGAATGTTGTAATAGGGATTAGGCATGATCCGTAGACACTCTAGATCATAGAAATACGAGGCTTATATGGGTTTGTATCGGACCTTCTTGGATGTGAGAAATCACTTCAAAACTAGAATCTAAAAAGAAATAAATATAATGATTAATAATTTTAATCACACAAATGTATGAAATTGTCCATAAAATAAGTAGTTCGGAGGTAAGAAATCGGATAGGTGAAAAAATCCCTAAAGGCATTGATCATGCAAGCCAATCCAAGTTAAATCCATTTAGAAAAGCTTATAATGATTCCTAAAGAGTTGTAGGAGGTTTTGGTGGAAGAGATAATCCACTCATTGAGCCTAGAAACCCTCTATAATCCGTCAGAAGTCCATAATAATTGGAGATAGTCCCAAAGAGCAAATTGTTGAACCTTATGATTCCAAAAAATAAGGAATCAAAACTATAGGCCAACAAATGATAGATAAATAGGGACAAATCATATAGAAAGGTGGAGATTTCCTACAAGTGACCTAGGTCCAAAGCACCCTACTATTTAACCTTTTCAACTAGGCCTACAATATATTTTAAGAGTTATAGAGCAAGCATTTGGATCTAGAATACAACAAGTGTGTAGGCCTACTTACAACGGACCTTACCCCGAATACATCAATATGAAATACCCTTATCCATCCACTTTAAGTTCCTTAACTTTACATTGTTTAATGGACAAGGATAAGTTACGAGTCTTGAAATACATTGTTGAGTTCATCTATCAATGCATGAAGTCGTAGATTGTGACTTTTTAAAACTTAAACTATTTCCTAATTCATTAACTATGAGGCATTCTCGTGATATATTAATTTACCTTCTAAGTTCATTCATTCATGAGGTGAAATGCAATCTATTTTCTATCCTCATTTCTTAAAAACTAAACCTAAAATAGGCCTTTTAAACTCGGGGCTTGTTTTATGACCTATTTAAGTAGCTTAAAAAATTAAGTCAGTAGTACTTAATATAAAAAGTTTGTTCGATAATCTAAATAATATTATATTTAAAATTTAAATTCAGTCAAAATCTACTTAATTAAGTAAGTTAAAGTTTTTAACTTAAAACTTTCTTATTAACACGCTCAATTGGATAATTTTTAAAAACTTTTAAATATGACTATATAACCCTTATATATTCTTATAATTCTAATTATACAAATTAATTGAGAAACAACCTCTATTATCCTCGTTGTTGAAATAGAGGAGACCTTCTCCATTATCTATTATCGATGCTTTCATCCCATTATCATCAATAACTCGACTCTTCTTTTCCTCCACAATAGGTTTGGGTGATTGAGACAACCCGTTTTTATCGGTATTAGTACCTTTAGAAGATAAATTCGGGATAAATACAATATTCTCGAAAAAACCTAGTTAGTAGAGCCACCATGAATGGTAACGAGAGAAACCCTTATTAGCCTAGACACGAAGTCCATGTGATTTTTTCTATAACAACGCCGATTCTAGCAAGTGTCGAGTAATGACAATTTGTAAATACACGAGGGTAGTAAAGTCTTCAATTTGCGATTTTTATTTGGTGAACTAGAATAACATATCCGAGGTAAGGTTTACAGCAAATATTAGAGTATTAACCAACATGGCATTTTATGATGAAAAGACTTAAGAATAGTTGTGGAAGAAGTTGTCATGCATAGATCATATATTCTATCATTGTACTAAATGCAACCGGAAAGTCTCACCGACATTAATATATTTGGTGATAGAAAGACCGACCTTATAAATCCCGAAGGACGAAAGAAATTATAATAATAACAAATTAATATTTTAAATAATAATAATAATAATTTGATTTAGTAATTGTACTTTCTAGAATTGATACAATGTTTTAGGCATTTGGTAGGTCGTCCAAGTTAAGATGGGCGTGCTCAAGAGTCCGACTAAGATAGCTTATGCAATACAATATCACGATTCACAACTAGTTAGGACTTTTACTTGTAAATGGGTGCCCACTATCAAGTAAAAGTTATGAATTTAATGATATAACCCGAGGATTATAAATGAGCTAACTCCGTAAACTTGTTTATTTATTTATTTATATACACAAACATATTTATGTATATATTTTTATTTGTATTAAAAAAATATCATGCTTCAATTATAAGGTTAAAATTGTCATATATATAGCTTTAATATGTTCAGCAACAATACTTATCAAACAACTTTATTATATTCAGCACTTAATTTTTAGTAAATACCAAACAGACTTGTCAATAATATATTCGATCGAAAATTCAGTACTTAATTTTCAGTTTTATCAAACACCACCTTACTTGAGTTCAAACAAAATATTGGAGAATTTGTAAAGCATACTCAAACAAATTCTTAGAATTTATGGCCAAGTATTGGGCCAAAATTCTTAAGAATGACTTTGTTATAATAGTTAAAAAAATATTATATTTTGAAGTTAGGAGAATGTTTGAAGGAAAGGAATTTAAAGATGTATATGAGCTAGGAGTGAAAATATGAGAATTTGCTTAGAGAAGAAAGATAAAGAAAAATGATGGTATATGACATTTATTTCTAGAAACTAATTTTTTGAAAGATAGATATGATAGAGTTCATCGCTAGAGCTCTTTTAAATTGTGATGCCTTGATTAAGAAAAAATCCAAAGGTCCTAAAATCACTTAAATCAACTAAAAAGATGTATTACTTTGTTGATATAAACCATGCCTATCAAATTTTTGATTGGTTGAAGGCTAACAAAGAGTTAAATTTAGAGAGAAACACATATATTGATCGAAGAACATAAAATAAGAACATATTGTAAATGGCATGGTGTGTTATGGTTAGACATTTCACCAAAAATTGCATAATATTCAAGAATGTAATTCAAGACCTCATAGAGGCAAAAAGTTTAAAATTTCTAGAAAAAAAAAGATACAATGGGTATAGATAAAGATTTCTTTATAAATGTTAATACGATGGATATATATCTTGCAATCAATATAGTTTCTTTGTCTCTTTTTGATAA